GAGAGGATAGAGGAAGAACGTGTCGAACCTGAAACCGCAGGGGGGATGATCCAGAAGCCGTCATCACGTTCGTCGGTGAAGTCTACGCACGGGCAGCGACGTTCGGGGAAGAGGTCGATGAAGTCGTCGACGTCAGTGGAGCGAGGCGGCGAGGCTGGTGGCTTCCCGTCACTGGCTGCGCCCCTCTCTGATCAGATTAGGGTTTAGGTTTTGGTGGGGAGCTCGTCTCAGACGAACCTCGTGTACGGAGCCGCCGGCCCCCACCTCTATTTATTGCGCAGTGTGACAGGGGCCCTCCAGCCATAGTGGGTTGGACGCCCCCGATCAGGGCGCGGATCAAAGGCCCAACTGGGCTGTTGGGCCCAGTTTGGGATTAGAGATCAATCTAACAAGAAGCATAGTCATTCGCACGACAGTGACACAAGAGCCGGAGCTGGCGTCAGCACCTCCGTGTTCGGCTCTGTAGCCGCAGCCGCCTCTGCGTCCGTGTCCGCCACCGCCGCCGCCGCCTCTGCCTCTGCCTCCAGCAACGCCTGAGCCGGCGCTGGCGTCGGCTCCTAAGCCTCCTCCTCCGACGAGCAACAAGCACGCTCTCTTTTTTTTAACACCCATACAACACACATGTGTTTTAAAAAAACACATATATTTTTTTATCTCTCTCTTTCTCACCGGTGACCACCGGCGCCGGCGACGGCGACCGGTGAGCTCGCCCCAGCGCCCGCGCCCGCGTCGGGCATGGCAGTGGCAGCGACGACGGCGGATCTGTGATTTGTCTTTCCATAGAAAAAAAATTGTGATCTGCGGAGGCTGGAGGTAGACGAAGGGTGGAGGCTGTTGGATCTTAATCCTATGGTGCAAAAAAAATTCATGTGCTGAAACTGCATAAAACACATGGTTGTATAGTAGCAACAACCGGGTGTTTTATCACCTGGTGGCACATGAATTTTTTTTGCCGCGGAACCGCACATCCGCCGCGCCTGCGCCGCCGTGCCTGCGCCCTCCCGTCCCCTCGCCGCTGCCGTCGTGCTCGCCCGTCCCCGCGCCGCCGCCGCCGCCACCGCCGCCGCCCCGGGCATCTTCCTCAAGTCCGGCGAGCTTCTTCCCCAACTCCGACGCCGCCACCAAATTTGTTTCTGTCCTTTCATAGAAAAAAAATTGTTACTTTTGATTTGTTACTTGTGATTTATGATTTGTTACTTGTGATTTATGATTTGTGCTAAGGAGGAAGAGAAAAGAGGAGGAAGATGAATACTATCTATGGAGAAAAAATTGAGGTGTTACTAGTTGCATTTTTTTAGAGGACAAGCGCACTGTCTCTCCTCCGTCGAGTGTCTGTATCGAGCAGGAGAATAAAAAAATGAACGATCTGAAACGGGCCTATGTAAAACCAAAAAACAACCCGTTACGCAGGGAAGCGACCAAAAAACAAATACACACACTCAGAATAGCACGGATCTCAACAAAATCACCGCCATAAAAAACTGATTGTTTAAGAAACACAATTACAACCGAGAGATAAATAGAAATCCCCCTATCTTTTTTTGCAGAAGCGAATGGTGTTGCTGAACAGGGCCGAGTCCATGGAGAAAAGGAACGTGATTGGAATATGAGGAGCTGAAACGTCACGCCGTCGTAGCCAGGGTCTTCACATTCTCACCTTCTCCACTTATCGCCCTCTGTGGCTCTGCCCCTTGCACAATTGCACTCGCCGTGGCACCGCGCCACTGCATGTGGCCGCCAGTGGCTCATTGCAAATCACCAATCGATCGTAGCATGCGGCGCACGGCGATCCTCGACACTATCATATTCAGATAATTCTATATGTCTTAGTCTTACAATCTATCTCTAATTTCTGATCTACTTAATACCAGTAGTAAGAATGTTAGGGTTGTCTAATTCTAGTCTAATGGGCCCTTACCTTCCTTGCCCAAGGCCATAAAATCTATAGAGCCGGCCATGTTGCTGAAGGAGGAGCAAGAAATGATGCAATTCCTCATCCACAATATGCTGAATTGAGGTGGATGGAAACACTTGGCTTTTTTGTTTTAGCAACCCCAATTAACCGCGTATTTGTAAAACTCGTATGGCTTTCAGTACAAGCAGAGGTAATCTTCTTAAAAATATAGAGCAGGTAGGTAATTTAAATATAAATTTGGAAGGGTACCTTAGATTATGGATTATGGTTGAGTAATTTAGATGCAAAATAAGGAGTTATTTTATATTGTTTTCTGTATCGGTAGAATGCCTAATTTTTTTACTAAACAAAATAGATCTGTTGGCTATTATTACCAATCATGATTATAAAGTCTACCAATTTAATGACTCCTTTTTTTTAGAATTTCTTAGATTCATCTTTTTTTTCTAACATGTCACGACTCACGAGGATTAACATAGTTGCTTCGGTGGTGTGTCCAATTAGTAATACTACTGAAGCCATGTCATCAAAATTTAGGGAGTGAATTCATGATGATGGAGTACCTCATTTAGGATTAGGATGAGGTGATTTCAAACCATACACTCCTTATGTGATTGATTATTGAATGTAAAAAAATCGTACTAAGCTGCATTTGTGTAATAAAAAATAAGAATTCAAATACAGAACACTAAAAGTCACATGAGGAATCCAACGAGAGCTAGCTTTCGGAGAAGACAGATTAGGAGTAATGATTCTCCACTATTACTTATGATTAGCAAAAAGGGAGATTCTTGTGTAGCATGCGTGGAACGCAACCAAAAACATCCACATATCACAGGCATGGTGGCCCATATGGATAGGAGTGTGGGAGCACAGGATAAGGAACCGAACAACATGGGGAACATTGAGAATCAGCTAGTTGCCCATTCCAAAGAGGTAAGAGGAAGAGGGAACCAAATGCCGGAAGGAAGGAATGTCCAAATTGCATGCTCAACATTCTCCGTCCAAACGTACCTGAGAGAGAAGAGCCAGGCAAAGAGAGAGATTTATGGTGTGTTTGGTTTTTTAAGTATTGGCATATATATCCCAGGCCAGACCTCATCAAGGACCCACCACAGCCCTGTTCTGCGTGATTGTTCCTGGTGGAAAAAGTGGTGTCTTGATTCGCCGGCCGGAATGGTAATCTAAGAAATTTCCGTCAATAGGCAGATGATCATATATGAACCAATACATTAAGCCTAACTATCCTCAAGGCCCAAACTCTTATCTTTTGGTTATTATGACAAAAAAATATTCTATTAAACAAGGTCAATTTATTATTAGCCAATTTTCATCTAAGGCCGATGATATAATAAACAAACATGGCATGTGTCAGTCAGTATGTTAACAGCTAAAATTACCAGATCTAGCCTGAAGCACTATTAGATTGGATTTCATAGAAGTCCCTCCAACGTAAGGGAAATGGGATACCATTTTGGCTGTGGTGGACAAATTAACTAAGTATGAACATTTCTTAACCTTGTCTCATCCTTATACTGCATTGCAAGTGGCTCAGCGGTACTTCACTCACATATACAAATTGCATGGCCTATCTAGTGCTATTATTTCAGACAGCGAGCACCAGCTCTTTGTGGAAGGAACTATTCAGTCCCTCTGATACTCAACTCCTGATGACTTCTTACCATCCTCAGAGTAATGGTCAAACAGAAACGATTAATCGGTGTTTGGAGGCTTTCTTGCGTTGTGCAATGCATTCATGTCCCAAAAAGTGGAATAAATGTTGCCATTAGCTTAATTCTAGTACAGTACTGCATAGCAGCCATCTCTCGACACTACACCATTTGAGGTGTTGTATGGACACTCACAAAAGACAATTGGGTATTACTTTTTTTGAATGTCTACGGGGGGATTGCTCCCCACCTGGTGTATTATATATGTGGCCCCAAAACGGCCCATGAGAGCAGTTACAAAGATTGTGTTTTATATTTTGACGAAACTAGCAGCAACCTAGGTTACAAATCAGGATGTCAATTGGGTATTACTGACCCTCAGGCTGCCACTATTACGGATCTAGCGGTATGGTTGACAGAGAGACAACTGTTGACAAAGCTGATTCAGCAGCAAAGAAGAGAGCACAATAAAGAATGAAAAACCAAGCTGATAAGAATAGATTTGAGAGGTAGTTTCAAATAGGAGAAATGGTCTATCTGAATATTCAACCTCAATGGCTTTAGTAGCCTTCCGAAGCAATCACAAGCTTAGCCTTAGGGGGCAATTGGTTGCCTGTACGCGCGTCATCATCTAGACTCGCCGGATGCAACCTATCGCTGATTGGTTGGCTGTAGCAGACGTTGGGTCAGGCCAGCGTGGACAGGGGCTAAAGTTTAGGGATATCACATCAGAGGTTACATGTGGGTGTCACATCGAATGTTCGAATAATTATTAAGCCTAATTAATGTTGGCCCTGGGCAGCTAGAACTGCACTCACACGCTCACACACGAGAGGAGACGGAGGTGGAAGATGAACAGTGGACGCGAGTTTTGCTGGCAACGAACGCCTCGGCCGCCGGACGGCCTGTATGTTGGCTTTATTAACTGGAAGATAGACAACTCGACGCACCTGAACTAAATAGGATACACGGCTAAATAGCCTTGTCCACATGCACACGGGAGCCACTACTGCCCGGGTCTCATGCGTGCTCGTACGTTCCACAGCTTTCGAGCCACACACTCATATGCTGCACGTACGCCGCATGAAACGGTCCTCTGACCAAGCCACGCCTCCAAACGTGCCTGGTTAACATGCAGTGGCTAATACTACTCTACCGTATACTCAACACATGCAAGTCCCAGAGACTAGCTAACAACCTGTTGTGCAACACACGCACACTCTAACTTGCTAACTAGCTTAATCTACATGCAAATAACTATTGAATCCTCCACGAGAACACATCTCGTTTTGGATGACAAAGACTACGTACATGACACACATGTACATGGCCTATATGCAATAACTCAAATAACCAAGTCATGATTATTCCTAACATTGCCTCCCCTAATCGTGACTTGCGCACTCAACGCTTCATCACATAAGGGTTGTTTCGTTATCGGCCTTCGCAAGCAGCGCCTCTTCCTGCTTCTTCTTTGGACATTCATGGGAGAAATGTCCTCGCATGCCGCAGTTGTAGCACTTGCCTTTCTTGTTCTTTGACTTGCCCTCACCGTACTCAGAGTAGGTGCTGTTGCTCCTATCATCATCGTTGTCGCCGCCGCGGCCACAACCACGGCCGTTCTGCGCATCGCCCGGACGTGCGCGGTCCTTGTTGCGTCGCTGACGACGACGTGCCTCCCACTGCTCCTCCGTGAGAAGCAGCTGCCCGGTGCGCTCACCTCCAAGCTCGACGCCGCCGCAACGCTCCTCCACCACGCGCAGCCTGTCGACGAGTTCCTCCAGCGACATCTTCTTGAAGTTGGCGAACATCTCGATGGAGCATGCAATTTGGTTGAACCTCGATGGCACAACCCGCAGCATCTTCTTGATGACGCGCTCGTCCTCCATGTCCTCCCCCAACCCGTGCAGCTCCGCGGCGATGGAGCCGATCCTCACGGCGAAGTCGTCGATCGCCTCGCCGTCCTTGAACGCCGCGTTCTCGAACTGCTTGAGGAGGTGCTGCGCCTTGGCTTCCTGCACACACGTGTCTCCCACGCGCAACGACTTGATCGCCTCCCAAGCCTCCTTGACCGTCTTCTTCGCGACGAGCCCAGACTTCATCTCCGGTGGCACACCGCGTAGAATGACAGCCAGTGCCCGTCGATCCTTGCCGCGCTCAGCGCTGCCGCCCTCCACGGCATCCCAAAGCTCCATGCCCTCCAAGTTGCACTGCACTTCAAGTGCCCACTCACGGTAGTTCGTCTTCGTCAGCTTCGGGATCTCGATGCCACCAAAACCGCGCTCCACCACGACCGTACGCGACGAGCTGGTGCCTTCCTTCACATCACCACCGGCCATCGTCGTTGCCGTCGGACCTCTGCGTGGGATCACGCGCTTCTTCTTCGGCGGCTCTCGTGGTGGACTGAAGGAACCACCGTAGTACATACACCGGCTCTGGTACCAATTGTTGGCCCTGGGCAGCACGAACTGCACTCACACGCTCACACGAGAGGAGACGGAGGTGGAAGATGAACAGTGGACGCGAGTTTTGCTGGCGACGAACGCCCCGGCCGCCGGACGGCCTGTATGTTGGCTTTATTAACTGGAAGATACACAACTCGACGCACCTGAACTAAATAGGATACACGACTAAATAGCCTTGCCCACATGCACACGGGAGCCACTACTGCTCGGGTCTCATGCGTGCTCGCACGTTCCACAGCTTCCAAGCCACACACTCATATGTTGCACGTACGCCGCATGAAACGGTCCTCTGACCAAGCCACGCCTCCAAACGTGCCTGGCTAACATGCAGTGGCTAATACTACTCTACCATATACTCAACACATGCAAGTCCTAGAGACTAGCTAACAACCTGTTGTGCAACACACGCACACTCTAACTTGCTAACTAGCCTAATCTACATGCAAATGACTCTTAAATCCTCCACGAGAACACATCTCGTTTTAGATGACCAGACTACGTACATGACACACATGTACATGGCCTATATGCAATAACTCAAATAACCAGGTCATGATTATTCCTAACAATTAATTAATTAATCATTAGCATATATTTACTGTAGCACCACGTTATCAAATCATGGACTAATTAGGATTAAAAAATTTATCTCGCAAATTAGTTTTAATCTGTGCATTTAGTTTCATAATTAATCTATATTTAATACTCTATGTATGTGTCTAAATATTTAATGTGACAGAGACTAAAGCTTAGGGGGAGGAAATAAACACAGTCTGGACACATATGGTTTTGGTTTTTCTTCTTTGACTATTGATCATTTCTCTCCTACCTGAGAGTGAGTGCCTAATTGGGTCTGGGTCTGTGTGATTGTAAAGAACTATAGCTCTATAAGCTGGCATATAAAGTAACTTATGTAAGCAAAGAAGGCCTTTGTGTTTGATTTTTTTCCATTAGAGTGAGTGATGCTTGAAAGCCAAGCTTTCCTGCTGTATTTGTTCATGTCCTCCCAGTTTCTATATGTGGGACCAATCACATTTTATTTTAAAAAAATAAAGACGCCTATTGCAGGGGTTGATGACCTGTTCCTCCATTGCCATTTAACTTTTGAGCATCTGGCTGGCACTTCCAATAATGATTTAAAGAAATATTGTCGAGCATTTGGAATCGGTGACTTGCCTTATAGCACTGCTAGCGCTCACGGCTGCAGTTCTTCAGCCGCCCCCCCCCCCCCCTTTTTGCTTGTCCACGCGGGTCCTGTGCCGCCCGAACGTCGCTCACACGCGCCTACGTTTCGCATGCCCACACAGGGGCCTGCGCCGCGTGCCCCTCCCGATTTTCACGCGCATCTCATGTACAACACCTGATCTACTTTTACAACATCTATATGCAACATACAAAAGATGACAGATGAAACACATAAAACATTTGTTTGAAAACACTTACAAAAACACCTGAAAACATTTAGAAACCATTGCAAACATACGCAACATATACACATAAAACACTTGCAACATATGTGTGAAAACATATGTAACATCCACATAAAAACGCTTGCAACGTATGTCTAAAACAGATGAAACATTATGAACAGACGATTGCAACATACCTTTGAAACACTTACAACATATGCAACATGTGTAACATTTTGATATACTTTTGCAACATCCAGATTAAACAACTGCAACATCTAGATGAATATATATGAAACACTTGAAACATATGCTAGCAACATGCGCTTTTAGCATAATGACACCTTGCTGCTTGGACGAATGGACACTCGTCGTTGCGGAACTCAACGCTAGCGCGGAGGTCAGTAGCGGCGCGGCCCTCCTGCGATTCTCCAACGCCTGCTCGCGGCCCGGCCGTCGATGGGGCGTGGCGCAACCAGGGATGGGGTGCGGCGCGGTAGGGGGAAGGGCACGGCGTGACGCCACGACGGGGGACGCGGCGCGGTGGGGAAGGGGGCGTGATGCCGCGGCGGGGGATGGGCGGTCTGAAAATGCTTAGCCATGACACGGCGAGCAGATAAGCGGAGTGGGGAATAATTTTTTTTGAGAGGCCGGTCTGCTGCGCAAGACTGGGAGCTGCGTCCGAACTGACGGACGTGCGTGGCGAAGCGTTTCCGCTTATCTTATTATAGGTGACTTGTCTGATTGTCTATCATTTTTTGTAGTACTACACGACATATTCAAATCTCAAATACCTTGTCCTTTTTTTCGTTACAACGTAGGGGCATAATCCTAGTTTTTTTTTGATAGGTAATCCTAGTTTTTTTTAGCAGAACATAATCCTAGTGACTCATTATCATTCCACGGATGTAGGACTGTGAGCGAGCCCAGTAGAATTGTGTGATGAGCCCAGTCCAGGCCACGTCAATACGGCCCAACTTCACACTGACGGGGCCACGAAAATGAAAGGTTCGTTCCTCTCAAAAAAAAAAAAACGAAGGGCTCGCAGGAAGCCATTTGAAGCGCAGGGTTTTTCGTGTGTATATATATATATTCTGTTTTACAATTTAATTACTCGATCCTGTGTCTACATCTCGACTCTCGAGATACGTCCAAAGGGGGAAACCGGAAACGTACAACACACCCCGCTACTGCAGTAAGTGGCTGACTGACCTTTTCTGATTGAGCTCGACATCACAGCTCAGGCCGTGTTTAGATTACAAGTTTTTTTCACTCTCTCTTCATCACATCAAATTTTTGGACATATGTATGGAGTATTAAACGTAGATAATAAAAATAACTAATTACACAGTTTGATTGTAAATTACGAGACGAATATTTTGAGCCTAGTTAGACCATGATTGGACAATAATTGTCAAATACAAACGAAAGTGCTACAGTGCCCAATACTGATTCCTAACCCCAATCTAAACGAGGCCTCAAAATGGAAAAAAGTCGGTAGAGTGGAGATAGAATGTTTGGGGTGGTTAACTTGTAGTTGTAGTACTAGTACATTCAAGTCATTGGTTCCAGCGTCTATTATTTCTCTCTTTTGTACACGTGTTTTATTATGAAGAACATAAAAAGCTACAACAATACATGTATAGTGACCTTTTCAAGCAGGATGCAGGTAACTACGTTAGGATATGTACACTGTACGTGCTTCCAATATCCATTTAAGTATATTATAAATAAAATATCGTTCAAAAGTTTCTCGTTCGTGGTTAAACGACGTGTTTCTATCAGCCCCAACGGGACCAGGATTCCTGACGGTTTTCCTGTATTTCCTCACGGTTGTTGGACTTTAGGGAGTGTCCCGATCCTCTGTATGGTAGATAGTGTAGTGCCTAGAGCACAACCATGATGAAAAGAAAATGCAAGAATTAAGGCGGCACGTGCTTTGACAATGTGCCACTCGACACTCGAGAGTTAACTTCTGCTTCTGGATCGGAAGAGAACGTTGTCGACACGGCGAGAGTATTCTGACTCAGTGGGTATATGCTTTCGTCGTCGTTGGCTATGTCCTCATCATCATTATTATATTATCCAATATTTATATGAGTGGAGCAAATATTTAGGCACGGCTGGTGTCCGGATGTCCGGACAGACGTCCGCAGCTACAGTCGGTTTTCTCTCCGTTTCGCGCATCCACGTGTGGGTCTGCGTCGCTCGGATTTCGCTAGACCATGCCTACGTCACCTGCGCCCACGCGAGGGCCCACGCCGCCCGAAAGTCAACCGTGCGGGGACTGCTCGCACCTCCTCCCACTTCCCACGCGCATCACATGTGCAACACCCGATCTACTTTTAAAACATAACACTTGCAACATATAAAAAGGACAGATGAAACATTTAAAACATGCATATGAAATACTTGCAAAAACAATTAAAAATCATTGCAAACATCCAGATAAAACATTAGTAATATATGCGTGAAACATATGCAATATCCAGATAAACACATTTGCAACATCCATCTGAAAAAAACATATAAAACATTGGGGACATAAGATAAGCTTGCAACGTACGTGTACAACAGTTGCAACGGATGCAACATCCCTATCTACTTTTACAACATCCGGGTAAAATAATTGAAACATACCTCTAAAGCATCGGAAATATTTCAAATGAATACTTACAACATGCATCATATTCTGGTGCAGCCTCTTCCGCCATCTGCATCGGGGCGCCGCAGCCGTAGCAGGAGACGAGGCCAGAGGGCTACCGCACCAAGGCCCAGCACTTCTCCTTGCGCCGGCGGCATCGTCGGTGAAAGGATCAAGATGTCCAAGAGGAGGGTGAATTGGGCTAGATCTAAATTTTTACAATAATTAAGCCCTATACTTAGCCCATTTCACCCCTTGTGTCTAGAATGGGTTTCTATTATTCTTCCGTACAAAAGTTTTGCACCCTAGGTTCCAATCCTACCCTAGCATGGCAATTCTAGAAATGTAAAGACATGAAATGAGTTGCTCAAATGTAAATGCTCAAAATAAAGAGAGGAAAAGGAACACGGCGATGTTTTCCCGATGTATCGGAGAGTCGCCACTCCCCACTAGTCCTCGTTGGAGTACCCGTGCAAGGGTGTAGCTCCCCCTTGATCCATGCAAAGATCGAGTGCTTTATATGGGCTGATTCTTTGATAATCCATCGCGGTGAATCATCCACAACCGCTCACAACATGACTTGGGTCATCCACATGCTCCACCGGATGATCACCAAGCTCCCAACCACCAAGCCGTCTAGGTGATGACGATTACCAAGAGTAACAAGCACAAACTCTCACTTGACCAAAATAAGCCTAATGAGAAAGGTGGATGCATATTTGCTACTTCCTATGTACTAATGAAGTCCTTAATCTTGGATTATCAAATCTCAATCACCCCACTAGGCTCTTACTCTCCCTTGCACTCCAAAGGTGTTTTAC